CCAATGTGGTTCCTATGTTAAAGGAAAGTCTACCCTTGGCTTCAGTGCCCTAGATCCACTCACCAGCCAGGGTGGGCGTGTGTATCAGTCAGTGTTCAGTGCATAAAAACAACCTCCGAATCCCAGGGGCTTACAGTCACAGACATTTCCTCTCTCCTGGGTCATCATCCTTGGTTCCAGAATGTGAGTCAGGTCTTGTCTCTCACTGTCCTCAAACCAGTAGCTCCCTGTGACACATGCTTCTCACAGTGAATGGCAAGAGTACAGGGGGTTGTGTGGAGACACATGACACAGCCTCTCAAGTCCTCTGCTCAGAATCGATGCCCTTCCACCCACATTCTTGTTCTGCCAAAGCAAGTCACGTGGCTGAGCCCAACACAAGTGGGGCAAGGACAGGAATTCCACCCATGGTAGGCGAAGGCACCGCTCCGTCACTTGATGACGGGCCCCGAGTGTATTCGGACATGGGGAGAAGAGAAGAATTGGCAGGGAGAGTCTGGTCTTCAGCTGTGCTGCATTAGTCCCCAGCCGTAGCCAGACTGGTGGCTCGAAGATACCCAGGCTTTAACTACCTCCAGGCCTTTGTACATGCTTCTCTTCCTGCCTCAAATGTTTTCCTCATTCCTTTTCCCTATCTGAATATGGAACATCTTCCAGGCCTAGTTCAAACTTTGACCCCCTCTGCAAAGCCTTCCTTGACCATTTCAGCCTACAGTGATTGTCTTCCTTTCTGAAAACCTATAGAAATGGCTCATTTTGAATTTATGCAGTGTCTCATGTAGCTCCCCATCTATAGATCATAGCCATCTATTTATACATATCTTCTCAATGAGACAGAAAAAGATTCTCAGGAACAGGGGTATTTTACATGTAGAGGGTTCTCACAGATCTTTATTCATGGACTGATAACTGCTTGGTTTGCTCTTAATTCCAAGAAGGTGGTATTTTAAAAGTAATGTATTTTTAAAATATATTTTAAAAAGTAATGCTCTGTTTCTTTGCTTTTCAGCTGCCTCCGAATCTTGCATTTTCAGCTGTGAGAAAAGGGAGCAAGCTGTAACTGAAAGTCTCATTTCCCATTTTAAAGTTCTCTTATTGTTCAGCTCAGATTGCCCACAGCTCCATGTGTAACAGATAATGAGTTCACTCTTGAGCTCTGCTGCTTGCTACAGAGCAGCCCAAACTGAGTTGGCTGACCACCCGACTGATGAAAAGTTCTGACCCAAGGGCGATCAGTCCGTTCTAAGGACTAAGCTCCCTGAACTCCAGCTCTGGTTTACTTTGTGTTTTTTCCATTTTCTTTAAAACGAAAACAGTATAGCACCATCACTTGGAGGGGGAAAAAACTTATTCTGAAGCTGAAAAAGTGAGAGGGGTCTCAGAGAAAATCTCAGAGGAAGACACAACTGCAGATCCTGACCCTTTGGGATATCCTCATAAAATGAGGCCCTTCACAGTTTAGAAAGGCTTTTCCCTTACCTGTCCCTGCAGGTGCTCTCCTTTTCCCAGATGACGATGAAAAGCGCATGCTACAGGGTTTCCTCATTCGTGTTCTCTGCTCATTCTTTCATACATAATTCACATTTCCAGGACTCTCCAGCGAGGGGTACTTGGGAGCAGCACTCTGCATTCACTCTTATGACTGCTTGTTGTTTTTTATTTTGGCAAAATATACATAAGATGGAATTTACCACTGTAATCATTTTTAAGTATAGTTCAGTGGCATTAAGTGCATCTACACTGTTGTGGATCTGGGTTCTCTCCTATGGTATTTAGAGCATTTTAATGCTGAGAAAAAAATAGGAAAAACTCAAAGCTCTGGCACTGATTGGATTTTGGCCAATCACCTAATCCTTCTGCTTCCTTATCTGTAAAATAGTAATATGCCTATGTTACGCGGTTCTTGTAAGTGAGACCTTGGCGCAGAGTTCTGGCAGGTGGTATATGTTACCTGTTATGGTTAGTCATGGTCTTCAAACCAAACCTGTAAAATTAAAATGGTTTCGGAACCCTAGATGATAATCACACTAATTCATGATATACTATCCTTTCAAATAAGTAAAAGTTAAAAGTCTTGAAAAACATATTAAAAGATAATTCAATAAGAATTATCAGAGTAATTGTACTTGATTTATTTCCCTTATTTAAGCTGGCAAATCACCATTTTTAGGCATCCTGTTTCTCGGAAATATCCTAATTTTGCACATTTTATTTGCCTGCACTTTGTTTCCTTCCCCTCTGTCCAGTACACTGTTTTTTAAAAATATTTATTTACTTACTTATTAAGTTTTAATTTTAATTCTAGTATAGTTAACACACAGTGTTACATTATCAGGTGTATAATATAGTGATTCAGTAATCCCATACGTTACCCGGTGCTCATCACAAGAGCCCTCCTTAATCCCCATCACCTATTTCACCTATCCCCCACCCACCTCCCCTCTGGTAACCATCAGATTGTTCTCTGTAGTTGAAGAGTCTGTTTCTTGGTTTGTCTCTCTCTTTTTATTTTCCTTTGCTTGTTTGTTTTGTTTCTTAAATTCTAGCTATGAGTGAAATCATATGGTATTTGTCTTTCTCTGACTACTTCACTTAGCATATTCTCTAGCTCCATCCATGTCATTGCAAATGCATGATTTCATTATTTTTATGGCTGAATAATATTCCTTTGTATCTATATACCACATCTTCTTTATCCATTTATCTATCAATGGGCACTTGGGCTGCTTTTAAACTTGGGTATTGTAAATAATGCTGCAGTAAGTATAGGGATGCATGTATCCCTTTGAATTCATGTTTTTGTATTTTTGGATAAATACCCAGTAGTGCAATTACTGGATCACAGGGTAGTTATATTTTTAACTTTTTGAGGAACCTCTGCACTGTTTTCCAGAGTGGCTGCACCAGTTTGCATTCCCACCAACAGTGCATGAGGGTTCCCTTTTCTCCACATCCTTGCCAACACCTTTTGTTTCTTGTGTTGTTCATCTTAGCCATTCTGACATGTGTAAGGTGATAGCTCATTGTAGTTTTAATTTGTATTTTTCTGATGATGGGTGATGTTGAGCATCTTTTCATGTGTCTGTTGACCATCTGCAGTACACTCTGTTCTTAAAATTCAGTGTCAATAAAAATCATGCAGGAAGCATGTTGGAATGCAGATTTCCAGGCCCCATCCCAGAGATTCCAGTTCAGTAGGTGGTGATCCCAGGAACATGCATTTTGCTGAGTATCAACCTAGTCTGGGGAATCACACTTGGAGAAACACTCTTATAATATAAATAAACATTTGTGTCTAAATCCAGGAGGGTCCTTATTTTAGTTACTATGCTCCAGAGATACATGTTCTAGTTTTAATTCATTTTTTTCATGCATTATTTTACAAAACTACATTTACACATAAAAATCTTCAGTGTTTTAATTATGACAGTGGTCACTCATAATAATCATTTTGTATATTGATTGATACCTCAGCTGTAGTGGCTATGTGAAGATTAACCCTTGGATGCTCATGATTTTCTGGAAACTTATTCATTTAACATTTAGTTTCAGCCATCTCATTGATATTCAGTATTAACAAAATATGATACATAGATTAATACACACTCTACTTAGAACGATGCACCCATTCATGAATGCTTTTGAACCACGTTCTTCCCTGTCTTTGTGAGGCTAGTCCTTCCCAGAAATGCCCTTTCTACTTCTTTCTGTCCCTAGAAGTTGCAAACAGCAAACTCCATGCTGTGATTGACCCATATGGTTTTTAAAAATTAAAAGTAGTCACCAACATTTATAAAACTCCAGATTTCAGGGACGCCTGGATGGCTCAGTCGGTTAAGCATCTGCCTTCGGCTCAGGTCATGATCCCAGGGTCCTGGGATCGAGTCCTGCGTCGGGCTCCTTGCTCAGTGGGGAGCCTGCTTCTCCCTCTGCCTG